CACCGGGTAAGTGGCTTAACACTCCCAACCTTGGTTTCCTTACCTGTAAAATGGGGTGAGGGGATGACATATCTCAAGGGATTGTTGAGAAGATTTAATTCAATGGGATAAACCCCTTGACACAATGCCTGGTGCATAAAGAGTGACCATTTCACCACAGCTCCTGGTATTAACAGTAGTAGAGTCACGTCTGGGGGCAAAGTGGCAGAGAGAGTGGGAGAGAAAGCTCTGGTACGTGACCGAGGCGCTGCCATCCCCACAGCCCTGGTGATGACCCTGCGGTGCTGGGGAGGAGGGGTGGCAGGCAGAACGTTCCTCCCCTTCATCCAGGTCCCAGCTCGCTCCCAGATACGGCACAACCCAGCGGCACAACAAAGACCGGCCTCCTGTGAGATGGGCCCGGCGCCGAGCTGCGCCTGGATCCAGAGGAGACATCTCTGTCCAGCGTTTCCATCAGGGCTCTTCCGAGCCAGCTCCTGGGGCACACACAAAGGCCCATTCAGGACGGCTGGAGCTCTGAAAGCAGGCAGATGAGCCGGGGGCCGAGGGAGGGGATGGAGAAGCAGCCCAGTGCCTGGCACCAGCCCCGCCGGGCTTGCCTCGGGCAAGTGGGCGCGAAGGGCTCAGGTCAGCCGCCCAGCCAGGCCGCACTCTTTGTCCTCTCTCTGGTGGTGGTCCAGGGCCTGGAGACACCAGCTGCCATGGCTGGGACTGAATGACCTCCTGGAGGAGGCTGAGAACCCCCACCCCCGTGATGCCAGCCCAGTAAGCCGGGTATCCAGTGGAAACAGGCCATTACGAACAGGACTGCCATTTCAAAAGCACTTCTTTCTGGGAAAAATGCCTCTCAGAGGTTCCCACCCTGGGGAGGTACTTACTAGCTGCAGCCCCGAAGTGACAAACAAGCCGCTCAGTTAATACGGAGTAGCCACCCGTTATTTCCCAGGACCTGGGAAGCGGCTCATGTTCTTCAGTCTCGGTTTTCCCATCTGTACAATGGGGTCTGGTCAAACAATCTTTGTTGGAATTCAAAGAGGAGCTGTCGTGAGAGTTTCTTGGCTGTCTGAGCCAGCAGGCAGGCCCGACCCCAGCCTACCTCTTTGTGGCCTCCTGGATGGCGTGGAGAAGGCCTGGTTTGGGGCGCCTGTCAGCTCTGTGGGCAGCCCCCAAATATGCCAAATCTAATGCATCAGGGACATGCTGGCCCTATAGGACCCTGAATTTTGGAGCAGAGAGGTTGTTTAAAAGACCACGACCCTTGAATGTAGAGGACAGTAAGATTCCCTTCTTTACCTTTTCCCTCCTAAAGTTACCAAAGGCTATTCCAATAACGTGACAGATCAAACACGGAACAGAAAACGGAGCCCCGTCTTGCCACCAGTAATGTAAGACCCTTCCTGTGGGGCAGTATCATTTTCCAGATGACCTGCCTCAGAAGGACTGAAGGGATTTTCTCTGCTCTAAAGATGTGTCTGTACCAGTTAATCTAGCTGTCCACCTTTCCTGGAACGCACTGACTGCATTTATTCATCTACATATCTCTCTCCCAATGGTAAAACTCAGTACACATACCACCTCCTCCAGGAAGCCTTCTCTGACTACACAGCTCAAATTAGTGCCCCTTTATCATGTTCCCACAACACCCCGGGCACTCCTCTCTCTTAGCACTTCGGAAAGGACATTGAAATTGCCTGTTTGTCTCAGTCTTCTCTGTGGTCTGTCACTGTACTTTATCAATCTTTTAAACTCCAGCTTCTAACATTAGTGTTGGGCCAAGGTAGAAGCTTAATAAATGTTTACTGAACGAAAAGGCTGCCGGCATGAACCCCAGTCTGTCATTTACAAGGGTATCCTAACCCCTGCTCTCAGGAAGTTCCATCTCGTATCTAACCCTACTCCTCCCCACGTATGTACACTGCTACTTTTTCTAACTTCAGGGGACAACAGCTGGTAACCATCTTCATTCTTATCAGAGGAAGAGTAGAAATCACTAGCATCGCTCATCATTTCTTTCTACCAAGTCAGCTTTATTTTTTTCAGGCTTCAATCAGGGATAAAATGATCAGAGTCTCAAATCGGACAGTTTCTGGTTTTAATAAACAAATAAAAAAGGACTTTCAAGAAGGATTTTGGCCACAGAGAATCTGGTGTGTTTCAACAAGCTTCTGCAAGGCACCTACTGTGTGCCAGACTGTGCGTGGGAGACAACGAACGAGTGCCGAAGTCCCGGCTGTGCAGAGACCTCTAACCTAGAGCAGGGAATGGACAGGGATACTTGATTTAACTGAAAAAAGCATCACACCACTTTCTTCATGGTACCTTGATTGCAATCACTAAGTTGTGTGAGAATGTAAAATAAAAGTCCACAGTGCTAAAACAAAACCAAACAACAACACAACAAAGTTTCCAGTTCTGAGCAACCTGGGCGAAAACTAGCGGCTGAATCAGGGACCATGTTAGGGACACGCTGGAGAGCCCATTACGGGATCAGTGTCCTGTATATGTTGATACTGTGACAGAAATCCACTTGCATGTTTGCTGCCCGGCAGAGGCTGGCCTCCACTGACCACATATCCAGGAAACTGGCAGGAGCCCCTCATCCCCACCCCCTAAACTGGCAGGCTCCTTCGTCCTGGCCAAGGAGCTCAGGGTCTGCGTGACTCGAGGCAAGTCATCTGAGGACACTTGGGATTCAGTCGGGTGAGCCAGTGGAGGCAGCACAGATAAGAGCAGGACAGAGTAACATCTGCTTGGTCTGAGGTTTTTGGCTTTGGCTCCTGCTGGGAGCCTGGGGCCGGAGACGGGGAAGATTGCGCTTGGAGCTCGTACCAGCAGGTGGCGCAGAAGAGCGGACACCAACCCTCAAGTGGGGCCCAAAGAAGGAATGATTCCGTCCCAGAAAGAGGCAGCAGGGCCAAGAAAGGCAAAAGGGGACCAGGCTCCCTGCATGGTTCCAAGAAAAGCAGACTGCGCAGACGGACCAGAGAGCCAGATGTGGGCATTGCTCAGGTACAGAAAAACCAAGATAGGTCCTCCGAGGTCTGAGCAAAACCCGTGAATGGTCAGCACTTTTAGGAAATGTGCAAAGAAAAGGCAAGAGTGAAACCACATACAGTGTTAACTTCGGGGCAAGATGAAGCCTCTGAGCGTCGAAAGGCTCCAACCACTCTGAACCCTTAGTGAACCTTTAGACAGCTGACGGGTAAAGCATAACTCCCCAAATTACCTCCTCCACCAGCAGCTCAACAAAAACAAAACAAAACAACAACAACTACCCACTTAACCTGGTTGGGAAAGCTCTGGAAAGCAACATTTTCAAACATGCACACAAAAGGAAACTGGTCTCCACTGAAAGCTACCAGACGAAGCCACTTTCTGGATGCTCTCATCTCTGGGTAAGCTCGCCCCAAATCACACCCTTACGGGAAGAGGACAGCAAGAAAGTTCACCCGCCACAGACACCGAGGCTTCTCAGTTTCTGGGCCCCAAAGGGCAGAAAGCACGGTCCTACTTATTTATTTATGCAGTGCCACAGCTTGAAGAATTTTCACCAGGGAATTCTAAGCAGGGGAATAAAAGAGTCGCACACAGGACGCAGGGCAATCTCTCTCCTCTGAAAGGTAACATTCAGAAGGCTGAGACACGCAGTAGAGAATCTACCTCCTATACTGGAGCGTGTGGGTTGGCTTGGGGATAAGTCTTAGGGAATGCAAGGAATTTTACTTATTTTTCCATTTGGTTTACTTTCATGTCCTTACTTCTCTGGCGGGGAAACAATCCTAGATACGTCAGGTCCGATGTTTCAGAAATCAGTTCTGTTTACTGAAGTACGTATGCATCTATGTAAAACCTTGCATTGCTTGAAAAACAATGAAAGTGTTTGATTTATCTGTTCTCAATCTTCTGCCAAAAGCAGAGGCAGTACAGCTGGGTCCACTGCTGGGTTTACTGGTAAACTTGGACAGGAGGTGAGTCTGTGATCTGTTCTATAACCTCCCACCTGTAACCGGATGGGGCCCCCATCACAGACGTCTCAATGGCGGCAAGTGTAAAAGCTGGGTGACTAATGTCAACAGAGCACCCAGGGAGCCCAGAGGAAGGGAGGGTGAATTCCCCTGGTGGGGACCTGAAAGGCTTCAGGGAGGCAGACACTGGAGTTGTTCCACCGTCTCTGCCTTTGGACTTGCTTTGTTCTGCTCAACGCCCACCATCTTCCTTTTGTGGATAATTCTTCATCTTCTTCAAGAATCAATACTGATCTCATCTGAAGCCCTCCTTGACCAGCACCCTGTTCCAGCGTGTCCTCAGAAATTCTGTGCAAATCTCATTCCAAGTCCACGACACAGAAATGACACTGCTGTCACCATCCCCCTGCTCTAGAATTCACCCACTACATTGCAGACTCCTTTTTTCCTGCTTCTTCAGGTTTTTCCAGGCCCCCGTTCCCCCCAGTTCCTCCTAAGTAGGATTGCCAGGTAAAAGCAGAATGCCCGGTGGAGTCTGAATTTCAGATAAACAAGCAATTTTTAGTGTAAGTATATCCTCAGGATTGCTTGGGTGGTTGTATTTTTATTTGCTAACGATGGCAGCCTCACTCCTGAGACCACTGAGCTCATGCCTGCTCCCCGCTCTGTGTCCCCCTGCGGCGGGGGTGGAGCGCGCCATTCCAGGTGCACACTGCCAGCGCTGACCTCTCCCTAGTCCTCCAGAAGGAAGAGGGGACCCCTTGGACACACCTGTGGAATGCTGGAAAGGTAATCTAAGGTCAGCTTCAGATCCGTTCTGTGTCTCCTCTCCTGTACTTTATGTATTTATTCAATGGAGATGAAGTGTTCCGTTCCATAAAAAACACTCGCTCAGATGTTTTTAAATAGGAGGGTTATCACTTGCTTTTCACTTAAATGTGGTTTCATGAATTGCATGAATTCGATGACACTTTGAAAACTATTAAGTCTGTGTTTAATTTCAAAGGGCGGAGGGCTGGATGTGGGGCTAGTTACCTTTTTAGTTCCTGCTGCCTCTTTCAACCCATCCTCTCCTGGAAGCAGCCGGGAGATCCAGCAGCAAGGTATAAATCTGCAGACACACACCCAACCCCATCAGACAGTGTCCATCACTGTGAAATATCTTTCAGTTCAACTCGCCCTACTTATTTCACTATCTTGGCAACTAGAACTTTAAAAGCAAACGTGGCAACGTCTTGGGTTTCTCTAACAAATCCCTTCCACCAAGATTAACGTTCTTTCCCCTTACACCCAACCTCCCAGGGTGAAAAACTGCACCAGGAATAATTTACGGCAATGTCGCCCTACCTTTTTCACGTCGTGACACACAGGAAATTACACCACTTACATAACTGGGATATGCTGGAAAGAATTTGGGAGATTCCATTTGAGACTTAGTAAGTAATAAAAGTTAATTTTTTTAATTTTTAAAATTAGAAAATGTTATGGAAGATATTAAATACGGACTTTGTGTAAACTCTCCCAGTGAAATAAATCATTTTCTATTTAGGAGTGTCTGAGATCTGATTTTAAAATGTAATGATTAAAATCACATATGTCTCCTATATTATTAGGAAAACTACATAAGAGCAAATGAAATCAAAGAATCTAATATTTTATAGGGCAGGCAAAGGAAAGAACATCACTGATGGTGAACAAAGTATGACTGAAAAATAGTCAAACTAATACCAGGACCTTTTCACAGGAAGATCGGGGTAGGGGAAGTGAATTGTATGTATCTTCCTAGACATTCTGGTGGTAGGGGCTATTCACAGAGTTTCAGACACCCAAATAGCCATTAGTGAAGTCAGGAAGTTTACAGATGAAGCCATACAATGAGTGTTCATTTCTCAATAGTTATCAAAACTGCTTTTCAATACTGTACCACCATAAGAAACTTTCAGCCATCTGTATCCCGGGTAAGCCCATCCCAGCCCCGCCAGCCACTGAGCCTGCCCAGCGCCCCCTGGGAAACTCCGCTTAGAGAAAGACAGCCCAGCTTTCTTTCTGGCCCGTTTCTAGCCCATTGTTGATGCTACAAGCACAATCAAAATGAACAGGTACCAAAGAAGAGAAATATTTTTACCTTTTAACCAAATCAAACTCTTCCCCAAATAGTAAGGAACACTGAGGTAAGTTATCCATGGAAGACTCAGAGGTTGCCCTCCTTCCTAGCCCAGCCTTGGTGTGTGGAAAGGACCAGCGAACCATTCCATTCCATCACGCATCTGGAGCAACCGTGAAATGTGAAGCATTGGCATAAACCACCACAGGCAGAAAAAAATGCAAAAACCTTGGTCCTATTTAGGAGTCGCTTACTGTGTGGACAGTGAGGCTGGCACCTCAACAGGGATGGAAGGGAATCTGTGGTTTCCCTGAGTCGCGTCCACGGTGAGGCTCCATAACTCCTAAGATTCAGCGATTCTCTCCTGCCCACACTCAGTTTATGCTATAACCAGACACGTGCCTTCACCGAGCATCTGATTGCCTCTCCCCTCAATACTTCTCTTTTCTCCAAGAACTTGCCTCAAGTTTGACTCTTGAGAGTGTTTTTCTCCTACTGAAAAGTATCTTGCCTTTTGCCTTTTCACGCTCAGCCAGTCCAGATGGTTTCTGAGCTTGGGGAGAAGGGCACAGCCTCACCAGCTACCACTGAGTGACTGTATTCCTACGAGTCTGGAATGTAAAACCCACATGACTGGAAAGCAGGGTTGAAAATGACCCTAATAGTTTTTAGGACAAAAGAGTTTTCTCTACCCATCCCACTCCCCGGGGCTCAGCAGGCTTCTGCCGAGCAGATGACTCTGAAATTGTCAGCCAAGCCTGTGCCTCCCACCAGCCTGTCTCCTCCAGGTCCATCCCCAGAAGGATCGCAGCTCTGAGCTGCATGGCTTTCATGGTTCTGTCTTGGACAGCACATCCATCAGGGAGTCCCATCTGAGCCCGCAGCAAAGCGAAATTAACTAATGTGCATAAATTAGCACCAAACGTCTACTCCTTGGAGAAGTGCCAAGGCCATCCTTCCCTACCACAGACAACTGACCGTCCCCATTATCCCATCAGCTTCTTTCTCCAACAATGACCTGCACCTCGCTCATCTCACATTTAGTTTTACTGTTTATCAATTAATTTCAAACGCATTACCTTATTTGACCTTTGACATGTGGGGGGCAGGCAATGGAGGTTTTACCTCCGTTATATAAATGAGAAAAATAAAGCTCAGAGGAGCCACGTGACAAGCCCTGGTCACACAGCTAAAACTTGAAGGACGGCCTGACCAGTCAAGTCTTTTGGCTCAATTTGGTGTTCTGTCCATGACAACGGTTCATAGCCAGCAGGAGACAAGGAAAGTTCGAGAAGGCCATTGTTGAAGGTGAAGGAGCCCCCCCGGTCCTTCCCTTGCTCTCTCAACCCCCAGCCCACAATTCACCAGAAATCTCTGATAAAAGTTCCAGAAACTGCTGAGTCACTTTTGGTGCACAGTGGCTGCTGAGGAAAACTACACAGATTCACGCACAGGCAGACATTTAGAGATGTATAAAATTCGTTATCATCCTAGTGTTTAAAACTCTTTACCACTTTCCAGGTGGTTCTTCTCCAAGCAATAAAAGTGTCCAGAACATAGCAGAAGCTCAGTATCTACTGGCTGAATGAACTCATCCCTTGTTATGTCTCAGAGTGGTCCTTCTATTTCAGCCAGTCCCATCTCCGAGCTGCCCCACCAACCATGCCAAAGTCCTGGAACGGGCTGGTGGCAGAGGATGCCAGATGTAACTAAATGGATCAGAACCAGGCAGCAAAATGGCTCCTGTTCCGCTGAGGCACGATTTACAAACTCTACCTTCAAGATGACTCGGGTAAATGACAGATAACCCTTTGAAAAAGACATTCAAATCTCATTTTATAGATGAGTGGATATAAGCTCAGAGAAATTAAATGATTATCCAAAGATCCACCAAACTGGAAAGTGACAGAAGCAGAATCTGAACTCAGTTCTGCCTGCTGGTTTACCGCTGTGTATCTGGTGTCTGGCACGGTACCGGGCCTCCCTGGTACCTCTGAAGATGTCTGGTCCATGACACTTGGGGCCCTTTTGTACTGGCTGTTCACCCGGCCTGTGAAGCTCTTCCCTAGAGAGCTGCTGGACGACGGCTACCTCCCACACCTCCTCCAAGGCTTTGTCGTGTTCCACCTGCTCATTGAGCCCTTCCCTCATCAGCCTACATTGCCGTCTATCCTTTCTCTCACCACCATCACTCTAGGTACCCCCATCCTACTTCGTTTTTTCCAAGGGATGTATCACTTTGAAACGTATTTCAGAATTTAATAATGATGTTTATAGACACTTTCTAAGTAGGCTTTGCTATGGTGTGGATTTGTCTTTTTTAATTCATTGATGTATCCTGGCCACCAAGAATCCCACCAGGAATATAGCAGGTGTTCAGCAAATATTTTCTAAACAGAAGGAATAAATGAATGGCAGGCACTCAGTTAATATTTGTTGAATGAATGAAGACCTTATCTAAGCTACCCCATGACTAGATACCACTTTTTAAATGCCCCGTGTACACTAGATCTCATTTAATTAGCTCCCAAGTCTTTTGAGCTAGATAGCTACATAATCAAATTCCCTGCTATAAAGATTTATAGGCTCAGAGAAACTGGTAAGCCAAAGACCACACCCCTGGCAAACGAGAGGCAGAATTTGAACTCAGCTCTGACTGCAAAGAACTGGGTGAGGGGTCCTTCCATCCCCCACCACAGCACTTCTCAGTGTACTCACACGGGTATGAGCCCCCTAGAAATGTGCTGCTTCTGTAAATGAAATATCAGCCAGCACGAAATAGGTAAATCTTAGTTGTTCACAGTTAACACTGTCTCCTGAGACTCAGGTGAGACTTGAGAGCACTCTGTCACCTGAGAGGAAGCTGGCTGCTCCCCACTGTTCCGGGGCCCAGAAGCAATGTCTGTTGCTGAACTCAGTCAGGTAATTTGCATTTCTAATCATTCAAGAATTTAATTAGTATCATGGCCTTAATCAGGTGCACTGCAAATACAGCTGATGTCATCAGAGCTTAATTAGTTTGAAGGAGAGAAGTTTTTTACAGCCTGAATATGTCTCCACTGGTGTCAAGGTGAAGGGTCTCAGGGGTCCGCAAAAAAGAAACCAACTGAAAATCTAGACTCTGTGATTAAAGACTTTTTAAAATATTACATGGAAACGTTTTTGAAACTGTAATATCACTATAATAAAAACAGGAAGGTAGCAGTGCCAATTCAACAATTTTTACAGCTCTGATGAGGGTACTCTGTACCCCACAGAATTTCCCCGTTGTAACTGTACAGTTGAATGATTATTGGGGAATGTATAGAGTTGGACAATTATCACCACCATTCAGTTTTGAAACATTTCAATCAGCCCCCCAAACTTCCTCCAGCCTGTTCGACAGTTACTTTCTGCTCCTACGCCCGCCCCAACCCCTACTCTGCTTCTTGTCTCTATAGATTTGCCTTTTCTGGACATTTCGTACAAATGGAATCACACAGTCTGAACACTTCTGCGCCTGTCTTCTTTCTCCCAGCAGGTCTTTGAAGCTCATCCACGTTGTGGCGTGCATTAGCATTTCATTTCTTCTTTTTTCCTATGGACCGCTATCTCATTGTACGGACATACCCCCATTTTGTGCATCCTCTCACCAATTCAAGTAACTGGGACTGCTTCCACTTCTGGGGTGTGAGGAGTATGCTCCTGTGGACACTCGTGTACGAGGATTTATGTGCGTACGTACTTTCACTTCTCGGAGGGAAATCCTTAGGAACGAACCTGAGAGAAGTCTCATGCTAAGCTTCCGCTTCACAGGTTAAGCAACTGCCCAACTGTTTTCCAAAGGGGCTGGGCCACTTCACGTTCCCGCCAGCAGCACATGAGGGCAATCTCGCGGATTCCTGAAATACCCTAGATGGTAGAACGGGAAGTCGTCAACTTTTTACGTCTGATCTTTGAACTGCAACCTTGAAAAAAGAACTGCGAAATGCTCAAATCACACCGTAGACAGAAGGAACGATGGGAAATTAATTGGGATCAATGAGGTTTAGACGAGAGAAGGGATTTGTAGCAAGTAAGTTTTCTCAGGGATAGGTTTTCAGATTTCATTTGCTAGGAAATTAAATCAATCAATTAAATAAAATAACTCTCCAGAAAGATCAATTATATTTGCCATACTGATTACTCATTTACCCAAATTCACCCTGAGGTTTATATAACAGAGACACAGGTTTCATTTATCTCATTCTCCCTATTTTTATCTCCACATCTTGAAGGAAGAACACTTTGTGGGCTTCCTCCAGGCATAGTACGTGTTAGTCAAACCAGATTGAGCCCACTTGTATGTAGGAAACTCCAAGTTGTTTCATTTTGCTTGTCATCTTCAAAACTCTTGATAAAATACATGTCATGAAAAGAAAGACGCCACGGCCAACTCCTGAGCGGCAAATTTAGTTCGGGAATAAATGCAGGCTCCGCGTTGTACAATTCATGGGTTCGTTCATTTCTTCTGAAAAACATCAGTATGTTCCTCGCGATACCAGGACTAGAAAGGCATGGGCCGTCCCTCCAAGGGAGTGACAGTCATGCCAACCAACACAGCAGTGGAGTGTCCCAAGTGCTGTCATCAAAGCCAATGCAGACTGAAGGGAGGAGGCGGGCACACAAGGCGGGGAGCAAGTTAGGAAAGCCATCCCTGAAGAGGTAATCCTTGAGCTGTCACGTTCAAGCAGGTGTTTGCCGGCGATCCAGGAGTGGGGTGAAGGGAGGTCCTCCTAGCCAGAGGCTAGAACATGAGCAAAAGCCTGGACCCCCGGGCACAGAGTGTGTTCAGAGACCGGCAGAGGCCTTCAGGGTGGCTGGAGCACACAGTGGGTACCCAAGTGGGTGAGACAGAAGACAAGGTTTACCCGTCCTAGGAAAGAGCCTAAGTTATCCCACAGAAAATAGAGACTACTGTAGGATCTCATGTAGCATCTGACACTCTAAGATTTGAATTCTACTGGACGGAGAGCAGTGGTTTGGCGTGGACAGCAGTGATCCGAGACCCACGACAGAAGGCAGACTTCCCAGGTCCCACTCACACGGTTCACAGGACTAGACTCTGGCTGAAGATGCTTCATTTGTATAAGCACACCAGGCGGTTCTAACGCAAGGCGACCTGAGGACACTCATCACAGCGTGTAAAGACCCATCACAGAGGAACCTCCTGGGGAAATATTCATTCTTGAGCTGCTGCTGGAACCAGTGGAACAGGGGTTGGGGGTGACCCTCGGGAAAGACTGGCGAACGTTAGGTGAACTTTGCCATTGGTCTCTGCTAGACTGGCTCCTTGTCTGGCTGACTCTGAAGAAGGAAACTGCACTTCAAAGAAAAACAACTGAAAATCTGTCAACCTGGGCAACTAACTTTAATCCGAGCCTACCAGCCTGTGTGTAGGAGTCCTAAGAAGCTAACTCACGCTCGCCTAAAATGAATTTCTATCTCACCACGCAGGTAAATAACTGCACATTTCTCTGAGTTAGCTCCTGGTACACAGGTTTTTATTCTGCCTTCAGAATCTCCTCCTTCTGTCTCACCTGTCTGTCTTCCCATCCATGACAGAGCTCAGGGTCAGGCATACCTCTGAGATATCATGGGTTCAGTTCTAGAACAATACACACATAAAAAAGTGAATATCACAATAAAGTCACAATAATATTTTTGTTTCTCAGTCCCTATAAAAGTCACGTTTTAACTATAGTGTAGTCTAGTGTGCGCAACAGCATTATGCCTAAAACACAATGTACATACCTTAATTTTAAAATGCTTTATTGCTAAAAAATGCTAAATATCATTTGACAATGCAGGGTTGTAAAACCTTCAATTCACTAAAAAAAAAAACAAACCACTATCTGCAAAGTGCAATAAAACAAGGTCTGTATTGTCTCTTACATACCATAAACTCCAAAAGACTAGGAACTCTATTTTTCAGAAATCATTTTGTTCTGGTGTGCCTATGGAAAACAGGCACAAAATAAATGCTTTGTGTTGATGAAGCCGCAAATACGTTGATGCTTTATTTGCATATTGCTGTAAGTGCTGAATATATAATTTGTATATTATGCCAACTGAAGAGAGTGGGGACTATGCTGCGTTTTGTTGTGCACAATATCTTTAAATGCAAAAAAAAAACACCAGGGTAATAAATAAAACATTTTAATTAAGTGCAGTGGCACCCGATTAGTACACTTCACTGTTACGTGGTTCAGATAACTGTGTCAAATAATGTCCTTATTAAACTTCTACATCCGTGACAAGCCTGGCTGAACATGGCGAGTCTACACCAGATCAGTTTTTCAGCGTGTCCCCCTCCCCTCCAACGAGAACGATAAACACTGATGGATATGACAGCCCACGTTTTACGGCATGGTCGTTTCATGCCAGGTTCTGTAGGCAGTGCTTTATACGAAAGGTTTCACTGAATGTTCACAGTGACCTCAAGTAGTTGATACTATTATTAGTCCCATTTTACAGATGAGAAAACCAAGGTTTAAATCAGTTAAGTAAGAAAGATCAGAGCACGTGACAAGTAGTTACAGAGTAGGGATTTTAACTTATGTCTAGCTGAGTGGGCTCTTAAAATGAGCCCGTATTGTTTCTCAAGTTTCCAGTCTATCTAAGCAATGAAACAAGGAGATTTAATGTGATGGAAAATGAAGAAGTCTAGTGTATGGAAAATCCTACTTCACAGTGGCACTCTCAGGAGTTACCAGCTGGGACTCACCGCCCTCCCCCCCCCAGAGGTGGGATGGGCAGTGTTTAACGGGCCGCTCTCCAGGGAGGGGAAGCCCTGACTCATAGCTTGTGCAGATTTCCATGGTTGAGTACTCTCACCACGATGCAGTTACTAAAGGTGGAGCTGGGGACAGAATCTACATTGTGCCAGCTTTCTCCTAAAAATCAGGTTTCTCATGGTCTCTGAACAAGCCCCAGAGACCTGGGACCAAGGAGCAGACAGTTGCCCTGTTCTGTGGGAGGACCCCAGGGCACAGGAGAGGGTGGGGCTCAGTTATCTGCAACAGAGTGGTGGAATGCAAGTGCCACCAGGCTGTTTTAATTACAAAGTGATGACAGCTGAATATATTCCCTGACTCTGCAGCTAATAGCTTCCTGACCTAGACCTCACTCGCTAGATCCACTCCCGAAACCAAACCGCATCAGTCCCTGTGGGGCTTCTATTATTGGCTGGCCATCTCAACAGATGCAGGTCCAACCAAAGCCGTGTCTAATATAAGCATGCAAATGGCAAGATAAAAGGGAAAATGCATATGCGCTGAATCACAATCCACTGAGGGAGAAAACGGTATACACAGCTATGTGGAAGGGAGGACATCAAAGGTCACTGTCGTGGAGTTCCTCGGCCGCACAGGGTGAATTCTGTCCAGCCATCATTCGTAGCTGTAACTTTCATCAATTCATTTTACACACTGAAAATACTTGATTGTCCTGTTATGAAGGCAGTGTGTGTTGGTGAAAGCATGATTTCTGCAGTCAAACAGGCTTGAAGCATTTCATCTGCTTCCAATACCATTTAATCCTATAATGGTGCCCATTTTACAGCTAAGGAAACTGAGTCATAGGACTTAAACGGTAGTGCCTGAGCTAAAAACCAACTTTCCTATAATGTTTTCTTGGATGATTCTACCCCAGGTAGAGATCCCACTCAAATTAGACTCACTGGCTCTGCACAATGGGTATGAATTTTGCCGTGCCTCAGGGGCTCCCTGTTACATAACTTGTCTGGCTTCTTTTGTGGCCTAGAACATGAACTGTCACGGGCAGAAACCATGTGTAGCCCTCACAACGCTGAATCTCTAGGAAGGTGCTTGATTTTCTGAAGTGATTAACAACACTGCATCCATAGGTCTACTGATGGAGTGAAGCTGAGAATTCTAGAGCTGGGAGGAAGATTCAGCAGTTTTGAATGCTCATTACACGGTAAGCCCTAAGCTAGGCATTTCACATGTATGATTTTACTTAAACCTATATGGTTGACACTGTAACTTTATTTCACAGATTTTTAAAAAGGCTCAGAGAAGTTAGGAAATTTGCTCACACCACATCATTAAACGGCAACAAAGCTGCGGCTGAAATCTAGGCCAATCTGACCCCAGAGCGTAACCCTGCTGCCCTGTGGGCCCACCTGTCCATCCTGCTGCATCAGCGGGAGAAGACGTCTACACAAACTCCAGCGGATGGGATGGGTACTGCACCTCACCTGGAAAGTAATCCCAAATGTTCACCTGGTAATGTGTTCCAGCTTCGGTTAACCCTGGTATTCAGAAACATGCTCTTCATGTCTATCTTAATTCTCCCTTGCTTCCATTTCATGCCAGTTCCCTTCGTTTTGTTGGCAAGAAGATGGAAAACACCTGGCTACCATTTCCTGGACAATAATCCTCCTTGGACTGGAAAATTCCCATGACATGATCTCAACTTCCTCGTCTCTGGGACAAAATGCAGCCACACGCCGCTTCGAGTGAAGTCTGTCCTACCCGGTAGGCTGTCCGACCCAGACAGAATTAGAACTGTCAGCAGGAACACAAGTGAGCACCACCAGTAGGACTGGGTAATCCCTGGGCAGATGCTCCCAGATCAAAGATTCACGCTGAAACCAGCTGTCGGAGCAAAGAAGCAAAGTCCATGGAGGGAGGGAAGATGTCGGAAACTGACGAGCCGCCCCACCAGTTACCGACCATCCCCACCTGCCTCGGATCAAACCCAGAGCCAGGACATGAGGTGGGGTGGAGGAGGGAGGCCAGGCGGCCACGGCAGCTACTCATCTGGGGAAACCATGGCTTAGCAGGCAGCCCCCAGGCCTTGGCACCGGGGGAATAAGGGCAGCTGCTCAGAAAACAAAAAACCCCAGT